GATAGAATGGCTTACACAAAGGCATAGAGGCAGATACAGCCAATAATCCAACCTGGAAAAAGAGCTGGAAATGCATGCACACGAGGGCAGAAGATGTGCATGCACAGTGGGGATATGAGGGCTAGGGCCAGGGTGTAGCATTTGGACTCCATTTGGTCAGCTGAAAGAACCACACAGGAACTGGAACAGGTTGCGTAATTCTTAGCTCTCTCTCTTTTTTTTAAAAATAAGTCTTTATTGTTCAGATTATTACAGTTGTTCCTCTTTTTTCTCCCCATAGCTCCCCTCTACCAGATTCCCACCCCACCCCATGCCCTTCCCCCGCCCCCCCATTGTCCTCATCCATAGGTGTACGATTTTTGTCCAGTTTCTTTCTGCACCTACCACACCCGCCTCCCCATGAGAATTGTCAGTCTACTCCCTTTCTATGCCCCTGATTCTATTATATTCACCAGTTTATTCTGTACATCATATTTTTTTATTCATTTGATTTTTAGATTCACTTGTTGATAGATATGTATTTGTTGTCACTTTGTTGTTCATAATTTTTATCTTTACCTTTTTCTTCTTCTTCCTCTTCTTAAAAAATACCCTTCAGCATTTCATATAATACTGGTTTGGTGGGGATGAACTCCTTTAGCTTTGTCTTGTCTGTGAAGATCTTTATCTGACCTTAAATTCTAAATGATAGCTTTGCTGGATAAAATAATCTTGGTTGTAGGTTCTTACTATTCATCACTTTGACTATTTCTTGCCTCTCCGTTCTGGCCTGCATAGTTTCTGTTGAGAAATTAGCTGACAGTCGTATGGGTACTCCCTTGTAGGTAACTAACTGTTTTTTTGTCTTGCTGCTTTTAAGATTCTCTCTTTGTCTTTTGCCCTTGGCATTTTAATGATGATGTGTCTTGGTGTGGTCCTCTTTGGATTCCTTTTGCTTGGGGTTTCTGCGCTTTCTGGACTTGTAAGTCTATTTCTTTCACCAGGTAGGGGAAGTTTTCTGTCATTATTTCTTCAAATAGGTTTTCAATATCTTGCTCTCTCTCTTCTTCTGGCACCCTTATAATTTGGATGTTGGTACGCTTTAAGTTTTCCCAGAGGCTCCTTACACTACCTTCATATTTTTGGATTCTTTTTTCTTTTTGTTTTTCCGGTTGGGTGTTTTTTGCTTCTTTGTATTTCAGATCTTTGACTTGATTCTTGGGATCCTCTAGTCTGCTGTTGGATCTCTGTATATTATTCTTATTTCAGTCAGTGTATGCTTAATTTCTAATTGGTCCTTCCTCATATCCTTGCGGGTCTCACTAAATTTCTCAGAGGTTTCTAGAAGGTTCTTGAGTAACCTTATAACCATGGTTTTGAGCTCTATATCCAGTAGTTTGCTTTCCTCCATTTCTTTGATTTGTGACATGTTTCTTTGTCTCTGTATTTTGGCTGTTTCCCTGTGTTGATAGAGTGGCTTTGTGTGCGAGGTGTCCTATAGGGCCCAGTGGCTCAGCCTCCCCAGTCACCTGAGGTGGATGCTCTTGGTGCACCCCTTTGTGGGCTGTGTGCACAGTCTTGTTATAGTTAAGCCTTGATTGCTGTTGGTATCACTGTGAGGAGTTGACCTCCAGGCCAATTGGCTATGAGGACCAGCTGTGTCTACAATGGGAGAACTACTGTGCTGGAGACACTCTTATGGGGCAGGACTTGCTTTAGTGGGGCTTTGGTGCTCACTAAGTCTGCCCCCTGAGTGTGTCTCTTATGGATCTGAAGAGTTGTAATCTTGTGTGGTCTCACTCTGACCACTGGGTACACTGGCTCTTGGATCTCCAAGGAGGTGCAAAGTCAGCCACTGCCTGAGGCCACCCAGCAGGAGCTTCAGAGAGATCTGCAGATTCCTCCTCTTTGTTTGGGGTTTGGAGGTGCCCAGATGAGGCACAGCTGTGAAGCAATGCAGGTTGCTTATGAACCTTAGGCCTTCTTCTGGAAGCTCTGCAGTTCTTTGACCCAGCTGCAGTGTTAGGTTTTAGATTGCAAAAGGCCAGGCCATTTATTTGCAAAAGCAGGTGCGCACAGCTTGTGTGGGGTTGTAAATTGGGTGGGGTGGGGTCTCAGGGAATCATGGGGTGGTGGAAACTGCAATGGCTGCCCATTGGCCCTGCCCCAGATAGGTCCCTGGGTCTCTGTGTCCTGCGGCCCTGTTCAGGAACAATGAACGCTACGAGCACCTCTGAGAAAAAGCCGCCCTCATGTTCCAGCCCAATGCCATACGGTCCAGTTTCTCCTCGTATGGGTCTGGGTCCCCAGAGTCTCACCCATAACTGGAGTTCAGAGCAGTCGGGAGTTTGTATCTCCCTCCTGATTGAAAAAGACCACAGCATACCCAGTTGTCAGCCTGTTTCTGTGCACGCCTCTGTACCTCTGCTCTTCCACACCTCTGCACCTCCTACCAGTCTAGATGTGCTTTTCTCTTTCCCTCTAGTTGTCGAACTTCCGCTCAGCCAGCCTTCCCATGGTTCTGGATGATATCCATTTTGTCTTTTAGTTGTAGTTCTGATGTGGTTGTGGCAGGCAGCAAGTTCAGGTGTTTACCTATGCCACCATCTTGGTTCCTCTCCAGCTCTCTCTTTTTTTAAAGTCCTCACCCAGACATACAATTTTATTTTATCACTTATTTATATTTTTACTGATTTCAGAGAAGAAGGGAGAAGGAGAGAGAGAGAGAAACATCAATGAGGAGAAAGAATCATTGATCGGCTGCCTCCTGCACACCCCACACTGGGGATCGAGCCCACAACCCGGGCATATGCTCTGACTGGGAATCGAACAGTGACATCCTGATTCATAAGTTGATGCTCAACCACTGAGATACACTGGGCCGGGCAATTTTATTGATTTTAGAGAGAAAGGAAGGGGAGGGAGGGAGAGAGAAAGAAACATCAATGTGAGGGAGAACATCAATTGGTTGCCTCCTGTATGTACCACAACGGGGAATCAAACCTGCAACCTGGATATGTGCCTGCCTGATCAGGAATCAAACCTGTGACCCTACACAGTACATGGGATGATGCGCCAACCAACTGAGCCACACTGGCCAGGACAATTCTTAGCTCTTAATATTTGGACCTTCTCCTGGCTTCATTCTGGAGTACGTGTCCTTATTGCTTCCTGTTTTCTGCCCACGGCTGCCTTGGTTCCATGTTCAGTACTCAGTGTCCTGCTGCTGCTCTCAGGTGTGGGTCTGATAGAGCCACTTGACCTTAGGCATAAAATGCATTTCCACATGGCACCTCTCTAGGCAATTGCATTTGGCAGGGTCAGTGGAAAGAGCACCAAACTGAGAATCTCGAGGAGGCCTGGTTCTAGTCCTAGCTCTGCCTCTCACCAGCCGTGAGACCTTGGGCAAATTGCTCCTCTCCTCTGAGCCTGTTTCCACATTTGAAAAATGATGAGGCTGGATGGGATGATTGACAATGGCCTTTCCAGTTGCAATGTTCTCTCAGTTGCCAAGTATAAAATCCAAAAAATATCTGTTTGCCTCATGCAAGGGGACACTGTTGCTGCAAATTAGGTATTAAGCCTGAGTCTCAGAGGGGAATGGATGGAGAGGCTACATGTAGATGCTACACAGTGTCAGCTGTGCCCAGCCTCGGAGTCACCATGACTCAGGCACTAGCCATGTGCATGAAGAAGCCTCCTGAATATTCCATCCTCCAACCATTCAAATCTTCTCAGTTGAAGCCCAGACTCTGTGGAGCAGAGTGCTGTATGTTGTCTGGATTCCCGACCCTCAGAATTGGTGAGTCTAGGAAGACTGTAGTTTCAGCTACGAAGGCTGGTGTGGTTTGTTGCACTGGAAATGAGCAATGAAGGCTCCGTGGATGTCTTATGCTCACTGACTTCAGAAGCAGCCAACCCCCGTCTTGGATAATTACTCCAGGTAGCATGGTGCTCTTGGGAGAGGAAGCTCAGAGCCCAGAGCCCGCGCTGTCCTGGGATGTTGTAAAGTTATAAACAAGGAGGCTCTGGAGTCTCTCCCCAGGCTGTCCCAGACTCTGAGGTATGTATGGGTCAGCTGGAAGGCGGGCCCATCTGTACTTGTCAACACCCGAGTGTGGGAAAGGCTAAAGGGCGGAGGGGAGGCTGTACTCCGGTAGAGGTCCTCTACGTGCATCTTACACACCCTGCCTCATTTCAGCCTCACAACAGCCCTGTTAGCTGCTGTAAGAAGGGGTGTTTCCCTGCTTTACTGATGAAGGGAAAGCTCGGGTGCTATGCTTAAGACTATGCAGGCGGGTGGCAGAGCTGGGCTTTGACCACAATAGCAGGCAGGGCTCTGCAACTGCCTTGAGAAGCCCCGTGGTGACCTAGGGATGGGAGCTCTGAGAAGGGACCTCCATTTCCTTTAGCTAAACAGCCTCTTGTCTTGAAGGGAGACCACGGAACTTGGCGGAAGTTCTGTTTCACCTCCCTTCCCCTCCCCCTCATTCCTTTTGTCCTCCTGGGATTTCGAGGTAAGGAAGAGACGAAGAACCCTCTCCAAGTCCTTCATTAGGGAAGGGGCGATGCTGATGCGGTCGCTACTAACCAACCATTCCAGGGCTGGGGGCGCAGAGGGAAGCCAGGCCGGGCGCCCACAAGCTGGGGATGGTGGTGAGGACGGAGTGTCCCTCCCACCACAGCCCCCGCCCCGCAGTGAAACGTGGGCGTGAGGTTCCCAGAGCATCTGGGCAGTGTCAGGGCGCACGCTGGTGTCAGGGAGGAAGCGGCCTATTCCCTGGTGGGACTTCCTCTCTCACGGTGTGTTTTCTTTGGGACGACGGGGGAGGGAGGCGGGCAAGGAAATACCATTTCTGAGCGATTGTGCCAGGCTGTGTCACACGTATCAGCCCATTTAAAACAATTTCCAGGCAAGGCGCGCAGAGGTTAGCTGACTTGTCCGGGCCGCGCAGCACGTGAGCTGCAGAGCGGGTGAGGACGCCTGGAAGGTCTCGCCGGAGCTTTGGAGGTGACCGCCGGGCCCTGCGCCCTCACCCCTGGGCTGTCCCGCGGGGCTCCCAGCAGGGGGCGCCCCGATCCCCGGCCTGGGTCACCGGGCGCGCCTCCAGCCGGCGCCTGGGACGGGGCTGGCCGCTCCGCCCCTCGGCTCCTCCGCGGCGGGGCGGGCGGCCCGAGGGCGCCGGGAGCGCGAGGAGCAGAGCGGAGCCGAGCGCCACGCACCCCGCCGCGCCCCCTGCCCACCGCGCCCGCCGCCGTGCAGCCTTCCGCCGTGAGTAGCGCCCGCGCGGGCTCGACGGGCAGGACGGGGCGCACGCCCGAGCACAGCGGTGCCCGGGGCTGGGGCTGGCGGGGAAGCAAATTGCCCGGGGCACGCACTCTCGTGTTCTCCAAGCCCGCAGCCCGGGTTCCTGACGCCGCCCGCGGGTCTGGCCGGCCGTGGCCTTGGGCGCCGTGGCCTCGCTGGACCTGCCCGCTGCACCCCCAGGGCACACGCTGAAGCCTGGTAGTTTGACCCCGGGGACGGGGGCGGAGGGCAGAGGCCTGGCACCCAGGCAGGAGATGGGAGACAGACTTCCTTCCATGAAGTCAGAGCCCTTTAACGGGATAGATAGAGTACCCCAGATTTCCGGGAGAAGAGGAGTCAGGTTTTCTCAGCATCCGCCTCCTCGCAGGACTCCTTCTCCCCTCGCTCCCGCAGGTGATGCAGGAGGCTGCGCAGTGCACAGGCAGCCTCCTGCGTGGCAGGATGAAGCTGTGAGTCCTGACATCAGGACCCCGGCCTGGGGCAGAGCCAGGTGGGCACGGGGCAGCCAGCAGGCCGGTGCAGGCTCGGGTAGAAAGGCATGGCAGGGTGCTGTCAGCAGCTGACCCCAACTCTGGGCCAGGCGTTGTGGATGTCTCCTGGCATGTGGCCGTGATTAGCTTTTCCCTTTAGGAAGGAGAAAATGAGGAGAGGTGAGCATGGAGGCCACACAGGCGAGGTAGATCAGGAGTGCACACTGGGAGAGGAGGCCAGAGTTGGGTGCAAGAGGCAGGTGGGAAGGTCCCTGTGGATAGGTAGACTGAGCACAACCTTTGACACCTTGTGCTCTGGATCCAGTGGTGGTAGTTGGGGGCTGCTGCTTTGGCTTCTGACACTCATTTCCCAACTGCCTCTGGGTAAGGTGTTCCTGGAAGAATCCTGGAGATTGAGGGGGTGCTGCTGCCTGGCCCCTTCATAAATACGTTCAGAGTCCTGCTCTTCCTCAACCATCCATCTCCCAGGATGTGTTTTTAGCACCTAAAATGGCCCCACTGATAAGTCAGCAGTTTTAGGAGAGATGTGGGGAGGAGGCACAGGGGATGTGGATGTGGGTGGTGTATGCTGGTCTGGGGCAAGTTTCTAATTGGTAGGAATGAAACCTGAACTGACCATGAGCATTTTCCTAAGGCCCCCCTAGTTGTTGGATGTGGGGGTGAACCAGCAGGCTGCCCAGTGGAGCTGGACCTTCATCAGAAAGATGGAGTTTTCTCACGTCAGCTTAGGCAGGTGGCTCATCTTCTCTGAGCCCCACTTCCTCCTCAGGGATGGGTCAAAGCCTTGAATGCCTGGAGGGGCTCTGTAATGCCAGAGTCTCCCCCACCCCCCCCCCACCCCCCAGCCTCCTCAGAGCCTGAATGTGATGATCCCTAATGGCAGGAGTAGGGTGGGAGGTGTAAAGGGATAATCACTCATGGCCTCTTGCAATGGTCCCATTTCTGTGACTTGCGCTGGGTGAGGTGGGGTGAGGGTCTCTGAGAGTTTAGCTGAGTAGCTGGGGCCAGTGGGGATGAGGGCTTGGCAGGGTTGAGAGAGTCTCCTACGGGGTGATCCTCCAGCCCTGGACGCCTCCTCCTAGGTTGTCCTTCGGAGGCCACTGACGTCCCCAGCCCTGGTGCCACCATCAGAGGTGCTGTCCACAGCAGCCCCGGAGGAGCAGCTGCAGCGGGCTAGCTGGGTGGCTTTTAGCACGTCCCTTCCCCTTTCTGGACCTCAATTTCCTCCTTTTGTAAAACAAGTGGGTTAGACTAGACAGCAGTGGTTTTCAGACCCCCCGCGCCCCCTCCCCCCCATGAATTCTTTCACAGAGCCCAAACTTCTAATATGGATGAAGTGGAACTGCTCTGGCTCCCCTTCCTCACACTGCTGGCTCCGGAAACAGAGTCTAAAAATCCCCCAGACGATCTTTGAGGCCCCTTTCTGTGAGGTTCTAGGAAATCTGTATTAACCTTCAGAAGTATTGCCTAGTGTGAGGGTTGGGAGCAGGAACGTGAATCCTGGAGATTCCATTAAGAGAAATGTGGGCATTAAGAGGGGCCTCGTCGTTGAAATGTCTGCAGCTGATGGCCTGTGCCTCTAACCAAAAGTTGCCGCTGTGCCCCTCCCCTCTGCCCTGTGGTTTATCTTTGCAGGCCCAGAAAAGGGCCTGTGCCTCTGGGTCCTAATTTGTGACTATAGTTCCACCTCAGAGTTTCTCCCCATAAGTTTCATGTTTCCAAAGTAAAATGCAAATTCATCTTGGGGACAGATGTGAGGGAAGGGCTTTTGGCTGTTATCAGCTGTTTTTGCCTGATGAGGTATCATCCTTTATGGGGTGACTTCTGTATACCAGCTACTACAAGGGGACAGAAGTGAGACTGTCTCCACCTCTGCCCTCCTGGGGCTCTAAGACAATAGGCAGGAGGGACCATCAAAACACTAAGAAGATTTTACATATGTTATCTCATCTGCCCCAGAAGGTAGATGTTAGATTCACTTTTTAACAATGTAAAACTGTGTACAAAATAAGTATATATCGTATAAGCCCATGGAACCACCACCCAGATCAGGGAGCAGCATTGCCAGCACCCAGAACCTCCCTGTGTTTCCTTCCAGGCACAATCGCTCACCCAGGGACAGCCACTGTGCTGACTTCCAGCACCATAGAGTAGTTTTGCCCAAGTGGAATCGCACAGTATGAAGTCTTTTGTGTCTGGCTTCTTTCATTCAACATTTTGTTTGTGAGTTTCACCCATGTAGTTGCAGATAGCCGTAGTTTATTCTCATCGTTGTTTAATAATTCCATTGTGTTGGGAGAATGGGAAAGGTCTATTTTGGCTGTAATATAGGCTACGTGGTGGGAAGGGGACTAAGGTTGGGAAGGTGAGTTGGGGGCCAAACTGGTGGGCCTTGTTTGCCCTTGGGGCCCCCCTGCCCTCACCCCAGCCATCCAGGATGTGGGGCCCAAGGATGGGGCTTAACCTTTTGCTGGGGAGCTGGGGTTGCTTCGAATCCAGCTCAGCTCCTGATAACAAATGTCCCTGGCCTCGTGCCAACGGCAGATCTTAGCTGTTCCTGGGGCCACTCTCAGGGTATCTGCCAATAGAATGTTTTTGGACTTTTCAGCTTCCACCTAGCTGTGTGAAATTAGTGGCCTCACCTCCCTGCTCCCCACCCCCACCCCTGCCCCTGGAGGACCTGACCCAAATGGTTTATTTGGAAGGATGTTTTCAGCACAAAGAAGATGGTGTGGGTTGCCACCCTCTGGGCTTGTTCAGGAGACTTGCCAGGATGGGTTGAACTCCTGATTATGGTTGAGCCAAATTTGCCAGAGGATCCCTAGACCTTTCTTGAGAGAGGAACGGAATTGGTTGTCTTAATGGCTGTGGGAAGCAGAAACAAGTCTAACAATAACAGTAACAATCATCCTCTTTCTTTTTGCCCAGCAGTTTATGCCCCTATCACAATGGGTCCTTACACAGATGTGTGAAGTAGGCGATATCAATGTTATCACCCCTGTGAGTCACATGCTGTGAGTCACATGGCTGACATACAACCAGACTAGCCTAGAATGGGTTCCTGGAGCCTGCTCTTTCCAGTATCCCATCCTCGCTGGGCCCTGGCTGAGCACAGAGTGAAGACATAGCAGGAAGGAGAATGTGTGGTGGACCATGAGCGCCCACAGGCAGGAGGTCGGCAGGTGACCTGAGAGAAAGGCCTGGGTGCCAGGCCAGGTTGGTCTGGAGGTCTTCAGGGATCTGTGTGCATCCTGGTAACAGAGCTCTAGTTTGCAGGGGACTAGACATGGAGAGAAGAGGGTGAAATGTACACATCGCCTGAGAGTTAGAACAGCTCCAGCCACTTCACATTGATGAGACATGCCTTTACGTAATGGGGCCTCCACCCAGCCTGGTGAAAACAGTCTTTTGGGGTTCGTGGGGCCCGGGCGGGGTTGGTATCTGATTGGCAGGCAGAAGAAAAGCTGCCAACGCTTAGCCTAAATGAGCTCTGAGAGACCCGTGATAATGACTCTTGAAAGACACATCCACAGGCAGCCGGTATTATCTTTGTGACTTGCACACTACGTCCTGGGCCCTGCCCTTGAGGGTGACATGTGGCGTTCCCAGGAACGGGTGAGCTCCTTGGGGCAGGGATCCCAGGGCAAGGTGCAGATGGTCTCTCCTGGTGGAGGGGCGAGCACTCTCATGGCACAGAGCTGCCTGGCTCTCAGTGCGGTGCCCTAGGCAGCAGAGCGAGCTCCATTCGACAGATGAGGAAACTGAAGCTCCTCAGACAAGAGATGAGGTCACAGAGCTAGCTGAGGGCAAAACTGGAACTAGAACCTCAGCCTCCCGGCTCCTGATGCCTGTTGTAATTTGTCACGGCACTCCTGCCCATCTTTCTCTTGGGGTGATGAGTGAGTTTACAATCAGTTCAGACTCGCTTTCAGGTGGCGCAGCCCGGAGAGAGCTGAGGTCATGAAAATTCCTTATGTTTTGACTGCATTTGACAGTTTACAGGGGTCCTCAAACTACGGCCCGCGGGCCACATGCAAATACAAATATTGTATTTGTTCCCGTTTTGGTTTTTTACTTCAAAATAAGATATGTGCAGTGTGCATAGGAATTTGTTCATAGTTTTTTTTTTTAAACCATAGTCCGGCCCTCCAACGGTCTGAGGGACAGTGAACTGGCCCCCTGTTTAAAAAGTTTGAGGACCCCTGGTTTACAAGATAATTTCATGATGTGCTGTTGGTTTTTACAGTATCAGCCCCTCTTATAGACAGGGAAGCTAAGTCTCCCACAGTTTCAATGACTTATCCAGTCAAAACTGGGACTTGAACCCAGATCTTCTGATTCAAAAACAAGTGCTCTTTCTCCTGCCTCATGTCTGCCTCTTTCCCCAGTAGACCTGAATTTCCTGAGAACAAATCGCTGAAGTTGGCCTGGTTCTATTTCTCTGCACTTGTTCAGAGCAGATCTGAGTAAGTGGGGACTCTTTTTCTATCTCCCAAGCAAATATGAGTTACTCTAAATCAAATCGGAACCATGCCGCGTCAGTCACAAGTGAGGAAAGGCTAGAGCAGGGCAGTTCTTGAGGAAAGAGGGCTGTGGATGATTGTGAAATTATCAGCCCCCTTGCGGCTGATTAGTTTCAGGCTCAGACTCTTAGGCTTGTGCCAATTGACACATCTGTCCTAATCTCACTTTCAGGGCTGTATGCTCCAGGCCTCAATGAGGAGCCCAAACATGGAGGCCTTCAAGCAGCAGAAGGTGGAGGACTGTTACGACATCGGAGAGGAGCTGGGGAGGTAAGAGGCCGGCAGAGGCGGAGGGGATGCCAGAGGGAGACAAGGATATACTTCTCTTGGTGCACTTGTCAGTGGATCTTGTCACAGAACTCATGGGAAGCTTTAAAAACAATCCTGAAGTTTATTTATTTAATTTTTATTGAATTTATTGGGGGTGATATTGATTAATAAAAGTAATAACTTTCAGGTGTACAATTTTATAAAACATCATCTGTATATTTTAGTGTGTATTCACCACCCAATGTCTATGAGGTTTTTTGTTGTTGTTTGTTTGGTTTTTGCTTCACTCCATCACCGTTTTTATTCAGTCCTCCCAATCCCCCTCCCCTCTGACAGCTGTCAGTAATCTGGAGGTTTATTCATCTTTATGGGAGGCTCTGCAAATAGTCATCTCTCTGAAAATAAAGACACGGGTAGAAGGGGCTAGAATTGTTGAGCTCTGTGTTTTCAGTATATCCTGGCTGAGTTATGGTGAATCCAAATGATTCTTGGTTTATCTGTTACTGTTCTCACGAAGCCCTCCCCAGACTTTGGACTGAGACCTGACCTGTGGTTTTCTTCTCTGAGTCCCACTTGACATTCTCCACGGCTCCCAGGATTTTGTTTCATAAGCTCAGAGCCTGATTGGGAGGTGAAGTAATCCTCCTGAAAGTGGATTTGCATTGAGTAACAAGCCACAGGAACATAGCCATGAAGGTTCATGGGATCTGAGTTACTGGGTGCCTTTTCAGGTTTGCTAAACACGGAACACAACCAGAGCTAACCTCTGAGACCTGAAAGTAGTTCCTATTTGGAGAGAAATGAAGATTTTTCTGAAGATCTCTTCCTGCTCCATTTCTAACAGATGCTATTATTTAGATGGTGTTTTAGTGATTATAGAACAGTAGTCCTGAAGTTTCATTCTCACAACAGTGCTTGAGATGGGATATTAAAATATATATATGTTTAAAAATAGATTTTTATTGATTTCAGAGAGGAAGGGAGAGGGAGAGAGAGATAGAAACATCAATGATGAGAGAGCATCATTGATTGGCTGCCTCCTGCATTTCTCCCACTGGGGATTGAGCCCACAACCCGGGCATGTGTCCTGACTGGGAATTGAACTGTGACCTCCTGGTTTATAGGTCAATGCTCAACCACTGAGCCATGCTGGCCGGAAGAAATGGAAATTGTTTTACTTTCGTTTTTCAGATGAGGAAATTGTGGTCTCAAGCACTTAAGCAAGTTGCCCAAAGTTGTTCAGCCAGCAAGTGACATAACCAGGTCTGGCCAGCTCTGTTTGTAACTGCACACCTGTTGTGCTCTATCCTATGAGCATGGCACTTGCACACTCCCACGTTCTCACCAGTATAGCCAACCTCAGCCTTTCACACTCCCAGCAAAGTAAAAACCTGTGGGTTTAGGGCCTCCACTCTATCTAGGAGGCAAAGCAGGAGGCCCTTCCTCTTTATAGAGTTCGTGGGTCAGGACTAATTCTTTACTTACTTTAATTCCAAAAGACAAAACAGAGCCAGACTCTGAGAAGAATGGAAGGTGCAGGTGCTTCAAGTTCAGGCGGTGCTTGTCCTGGGTGACTGGATGGCTGGGTGCATGGGAGCAAGTGATGCAGAGTCCCCAGAGGGGGATGACCCATCTGCCTTATTTCAGAGCCCAGCTGACATAGGCAATCCAGGGCCCGGTGAAAGGGTGGGGGGAGGACAGAGGGCCAGAAGCTGAGGGTGGCAGTAGGAGGCTGCCTCTGAAAGAGAGACCAGGCTCTCTGCCCTCCGGTTTCTCATGACCTGGGTGACACCAAGGGTCAAGTGGCTTCCTTAGCAGCAGACCCTGCCAGTGGCATTTGATCCAGTGGCCCAACCTTGGCCACATCCTGTGTGTAGGGGTCTGTGCTAAGTGCTGTGGGTACAAAGACAAGGAGGACACAGTTAGTCTCTACCTTCCTGGAGCTCCAGCGTGTGTGTGTGTGTGTGTGTGTGTGTGTGTGTGTGTGTGTGTGTGGTGGGGGCCACACACATAACAAGGGTGGAGTTGGATGGGACTGGCACCAGAGCTGGGAACTGAGGAGGGAGACTGTGAAGAAGGAAATAGAAGCAGCTTCCTAGGGAATCCATCTGTTATTCCTCCCTAGTCCTGTCTTTCCCCCACGCACTATATTGGAGCTATTAGAATGAGAGAGATCTCACGTTTTCTGATCCTTCCCTCTAACAGGGTGTGAAGGCCCCGTGTATCTTGCAGCCTGGGGAGCCTTAATGGACCCCACCTACTTTTCTAAAGTGCTAACCAGACATGGAGTGGGTAAGAGGCAGTAGAGGCCTTTGGAATGGCTTGACATGCTAGGATTTGTGGTCTACAGGCAAGATGAGCTGGAAGGCCATTAGAAGTCCTCTAACAGGCCCTTCATCTGACAGTGGAGGAGACTGAAGCTCAGAGAGGGAAAGGTCTTGCCTGAGGCCATGAACAGGCTGGAAATAGAACTGCCTCCAGATGACTGCTCAGCTTCTGAAGGGACAGGCCTACCTTTCTCTCCTCCCCTTCTTTTCTTCCCTTAACATATTATTAAGGACCTGCTGTGTACCAGGCACTGCCCAAGGTAGGGGTACACAAACAGGAATATTCCTGTCCTCTTGCAGCTTATGTTCCATTGGTGGACAAAAGCACTAAACAGGTGAATAAGGACACAGATACATCATTTTAGCATGTGTGAAGGGCTATGAAGGAGAGAGCAGGTGCCCTAAGAGAGACTAGGGCAGTGGTTGGCAAACTGCGGCTCGCGAGCCACATGCGGCTCTTTGGCCCCTTGAGTGTGGCTCTTCCTAAGCCTTAGGAGTACCCTAATTAAGTTCATAACAATGTACCTACCTATATAGTTTAAGTTTAAAAAATTTGGCTCTCAAAAGAAATTTCAATCGTTGTACTGTTGATATTTGGCTCTGTTGACTAATGAGTTTGCTGACCACTGGACTAGGGGATGCAGGTTTAGACTGAGGGTCAGGAAAGGCTGCTCTGAGGAAGAGCCTGTTAACTTGAGAACTGAGGGGTTAATAAGCAGGTAGAGGCAACAGCATGGACATAGGCTCAGAGATGGGAAAGGACCTGGGGCCTGAGCTACTGACAGGAGGCCAGTGTGGCCTCAGAACGTGAGCTGGGGGCAAGCGGTGCTTAGATGAGGTTGGAGACATAGGTGGGGCCTGATGCAGCCAGCAAGCTCCCTGTCAACACAGGATGGTGGACAGGCTTGGCCGTAGGGGTCACACAGATTGCAACCTTAGGACAACTTACCCAACCTCTCTGGGCCTCAGTTTTCTTACCTGTGTGATGGGAATAATAACAGCACCAACCTCACAGTTGTGGGGATTAAACGAGATGCTGAGTCTATGGTGTTCCTCACAGAGCCGAGCACAGGGTAAGTGTTCAGTGAATAAGAGCTTCTGGCCTTTGAAGTAAATTTGAGGCATCAAGGTCCTGCCTCCCACCTATGGAGCCGCTAGGAGAAAGGGGTGGGCTCTGCAGGAAAACAGCACGTGGAGGGGGCCGTCATTCTTATTTTGGAGAGAGCTGTATGTACACCTGCTTCCTGGGCTATCAGTGAGTACTCTGCCTACACTCTGGGCTTTCTTCTTGTTTATTTTAGCTCCTCATTAAGTCCTTCCTATGCAAAAATGAGAATGAATGACAGTCACTTTTCATTTTTACCTGTGCTGATGGATGAAACTCACATAATGTTGAGTAAAGGAAGCCAGACTCAAAGAGTCCATACTGTATAATTCCATTTGTGTAAAGTTTGAAACAGGCAAAGTGAATCAGATATGCTAGAAGTCAGATGGTGGTTATTTGGGGGACTAGTGACTGGGGCACAAGGGGGACTTGTGGGGCATAGGGATTGTTCTGTTTCTTGATCTGGGTGCCTGTTTCACTGCTGTGTTCATGTCATGAAAATAGATCAAGCCGTTCATGTTCATGTACATGTACATTTTCCTGTAGGTATGTTATACCTTAGCTTAAACCATGTGTTAACAAGCAAAGCATCTTTACTTCACTTCCTGGCCTTGTCTGGTCCATGAAGCACATGTTTTTGATTCATTGGAGGCCTTGTTTGTCCTTGTTCTACAAGTAAGAACATCTGTGAGAAACGCTGCAGCATCCAGCTTTGGATGGGGACAGCGTGCCCTGGCTGGAGAGTCCTGAGCTCGGCTGGGACCACTCCTGACCCTGCATATCTCACCTGATTTCTGGCTCCCTGTGCTGAGTGCAGACACGTGGCTGCGCTCACATTTTGGCAGCAGCCTGCTGGGGATGCTGGAGCGGTTGGAGAAATGCTGGCTTGCAGATTCTGGCCTCTATCAGACCTGGTAGCCACCTAGGGCAGAGCAGGGGTATATTAGAGTAGGGTTCATAAAGAAAAAGCCACTCAATCCATCACTGTAAAGACAAGGTTAGGATCGGAGAGAGGAAGTGGCTTGTGTAAGGTCACATGGTGAGCCAGTGATAGACCATGTGGGGACTGGAGGTCTGACTCCTAGTCTAGGGCTCTGGGCACACCATCAGGACCCACAGAGAGCAAACTCGTTTTTTCCTTTATTTTGAATGCTTCTGGGGAGTGGGGGAGAATATATGGTAGGGTGGTCATTTCTGTTTGACCTTGAAGGTGAAGGGTTAGAGTCAGGAGGTGAACATTTTGGAAGGAGTGATATTTCCTAGACCTAGAGGAAGGGCGCTGGTAGTTAGGACCAGTGTTGAATACTGTATGCACAAGGGCACAAGGTAATTCAATAAAAACAGCATGCAATAATGAGTGGTTTCTTCTTCCTCTAGTGGTTTCTTTTACTTAGACGATCAGATTATTTTATTAAATGTTACTGTTGAACTGGATCTCGACAAGAATTTAGTCCAAATTTCCATTTTATAGACAAGGAAAGTGAGGCCCAGAGAGGGGAGGTGATTTGTCTAAGGCCACAAAGCAAGCACTATAGGAGGCGGAATTTAAAGAAGCTTTTTAACTACAT